ATACCCGCACTCGCCATCGTGTCATACCAATTCGGTAGATTCACCTTGTTGCCTTTCAACACGTCCTCGACCAACTCCGCACCAAACACGTAACGAGACGGCCCACTACCCTTACTCCCCAGAACCGGTGGCGTCAGAACCACGGCCGTCAGAACCACGGCCGTCAGAATCACGGCCGTCAGAACCACGGCCGTCAGAATCACGGCCGTCAGAATCACGGCCGTCAGAACCAGTGGCGTCGGGTCCGCTAAAATCGGTGGAGTCGTTACCAGTGTTACCCGCATGGTTGGATGCTAAGTTATTTATAGGGTTGGATGTCAACGAGATAGGCGCCAGTCCCATGGAGTTGGCGAGGCTGTGGTAAAGGGAGTTAGGGTAGATTTTGCTGGCGAGATTGCCAGCCAGATTGCCGGCGTATACTTGGGCGTAAGGCAGCGAGATGCTGGTCAGTAGGTCGCCCATAATTTTGTAGATAACGATGGGGTCTTGGATCATATTACGCAAGTCCACAACCAATCTCTTGAGACCTTTGATACTCTCGCGATCCAGGTACTCACCGATACCCGAACCTTTAATCAAGGCGACCATTTCGTCCACGTTCTGCTCCAAATACTCACGCGTCACCCGTGGCAACACAAAACGCGTTGGCGCCAAACTCTTCTTCAACAACTTGTGCAAATGATCCACCAACACCGTCGACGTCTGTCGCTCGCTCTTTCTCTCCGACGACTTACGCGTCCTCTCAACCAACGATAATACACGCTCCGTTCTCCAACCTGGAATGTAGTCATGTTGGCCAATCGGCCATGACCCCCCGCTCCCGCCCGTGCCAAACGGACCGCCTGTGCCAAACGGGCCAGCGCCGGTCCCACTTAACGGACCGTTCCCGCTGAAGGGGCCGTTCCCGCTGAACGGACCGCTGGGGCTGAAAGGACCGTTGCCGCTGAAGGGACCGTTGCCGCTGAAGGGACCGTTGCCGCTGAAGGGACCGTTGCCGCTGAAAGGACCGTTGCCGCTGAAGGGACCGTTGCCGCTGAAAGGACCGCTGCCGCTGAAGGGACTGTTGCCACTAAAGGGCCCGTTGGCGCCGAAGGGGCCAACTCCCCCGAAAGGGCCATTCGCAATACCGAATGCGCCGTTGGCAGTGGCGAAAGGACCGGAAGAACTGGGGAAAGGACCGTTGGCGCTGCTGAAAGGGCCCATCCCGGGGCCGGAAGGGGCGAAGGGGGCAGCAGCAGCAAAAGGTCGCGCGTCAGTCGGCGACCTGGCGACGACTTGACGAATGGCGTCCTTGCTGTCTTGGTACAGGTGCCGTATTGACCGGTACAGGGCCAGGTATGTAAAGAATTCTCTGGAAGCGATGCTGTTGCTGATGATGCTGTTCCTCGTCACGGGGGAAGACCTGTACTTGGCCTGCTTCGCACTCGCGCTAGAACGACCCCGTGCCGACGACCGATCGGGTCCTGCACCGGCCGCGTTATGGAACCCATCGGGCGCGCTGGTGAAGAAAGGATGCAGCCGCCGCGGAACGGGGGGCGGTCCAGGCCCCGCAAAATCGCTTTTTCTTCCAACATCGGACTTGTCGCCTTCCGAACTATCACCCGCAGTCGGCTTTTCTCCCACAGGCTTCCCTTCCATTTCCGGAGAGGGGAGTACGTTGTAAAGCTTCAGGTTCACCACATCCTTCTGCCAGTCGAACCTTGAAACGTTTTGGATGACTTTTCGGCTAAGGTGACAAATGCGCTCTTCTGGAAAAGACGCAAATAGGTCCGGTTTCTCATTCTCATAGTCACCGCACGCAGCGTGAGTAAACATAGTATTGACAAATGCGCACGTAAACGGATGCCCAGCTGCCACCAACGAAGGCACTCTCTGCTCTGCATCCATCACTCGACACATCTTATGCGAGAGCTGCTTTAGTTTTGCGTACTCACTCATATTGCTCGGCCTTATGTAACGAGGTACGGTCTCTTCCTGGCGCTCTGCCAGATGTCGGGGGTGCCCCGCATCAATCTTTCCTGGACCCATCTGTACTGGACCCATCTGTACTGGACCCATCTGTACTGGACCCATCTGTACGCTATTGTTCCGGGTCTGATGACTGTTCTGTGACTGAGTGCTGGTCTCCGTGGTTACGTTCATGATGTTTGTGCTTGTCGGTTTAGCAGTAGAAACGTGGCTGGCCGTTTCTTCAATGGTAATGACGTCATTGAACACCGGGAGTACTCTCATGAACATAAGTATATTGTTCGTTACATCCGACAGGTCCACCAGATCCGGGTCAGGGGGGGTGTTGAAGTAATTGTTCCTAAAATCTTCAATGCTCGCCAAATCCACGTTCTTCATTCCAAACAACTTTGACAGTGTATTGTGAATGCCACCCGTGATACCACCGGAACACCAACGTATGGTGTCATCATAACCAATGTCATGAAGAGGCATCAAAATAGTTTCAGCCAGAACTACCGTGGCGAACAAGCAGATTATCAGCATCAGGTTATTTTATGAAAATGCTATCTCTAGATGGTACTCGTCTTCTTCCTCGGCTGGAGGACTCCAGGTGGTAGTCCTAGACTGGATTCCGCTATTCATTTTCTCTTCTTGGACGTAGGCACGAGAATAAGTGTTCGATTGAGAGAAGGAATTGGACTGAGAATAAGTAGTATTGGACTGAGAGTAGGAATTGGACTGAGAGAAGGAATTGGACTGAGAGAAGGAATTGGACTGAGAGAAGGAATTGGATTGGGTATGGGGAAATGGCGGCGGCAAAGACCACTGATGTCGCAAGTCACCGTGCGACACTAGGACGTCTTTCCAAGTCCTCCTTAATTTGGGATCCATGGCAAGACCAGGTGCTAATTGTGGAGGCAAATGATGTGCATCGATTGCCATGAGCGCTTCGTAGCTATGGAAAATTTGAGCTACGCAGCTGTCGTTGAAGGCCCAGTCTGGCCGACCCTGCAAACACATATGCAGGGCACAAGTCGAATTTGGAGCATAGGGATGCAGGCCGAACTGGGAGATGTACAGTAGCAGAAAGGCGGACCATGTCAAAGCCTTCATGTCGTCAACCACGCTGTAAACGCCTGAAGACCAAGATGAAGGAACAGACCACGAGGAATGCTGCTGTGGAGCCCTCGCTGCCACTGCGTTCCAATAGACCACACGTTCTGGCGCGATGAAACAGAGCAGGCTCTTATGGTCTCGCAAACATTGACGCCAAAGATTCTGCGAAGCCGCCTGGTTGATCTCGGCCAAGTGCAAAATCCGGTTAAGCGAACAAACCACACGCCATGTCGCAAGCAGCGGAAAAGGCGCCGCGGCTGCGCAATTCGGCGGTAGCGGCTCTCCAAACATCTCGTACAAATACACCAGCACACGCGCGCTGCAAGAGGGATGGAAGGCGCGCTCGAACGCCGCTACGTTGGAAACCGCACACACACCATTCACTCCCGCCGGGGAATAACATGTGCCCGGAACTGGATACGCCGAATAACCAAGACCCATTCCCGGCCCCGTTCCTGTCCCCGAGGTCGGGACCTGCCTATTAGCTTCCGGTCTTCCGCCATCAGGCTCGTCTCGTACGTTTTTCTCAGGTCGGACACTCTCAGGCAGCCTCATCCCCGGCGGTAGGTCGCAGGCTGCCGCGGCCTGGTCGACTACACTGAGTTGCCAATGTCCGGGAAGTATGTTGGATGTGAGGATGACTGGAGCGCAGTGGGTCGACGCCGCGGTGGTCGGCGTGGGGGGTCCTTGCAGCATGTCCTTGCTGACGTAGATGACTCCGTCGGCGTCATCATCGTCGGCCAGCTCGGCCGAACGACTGATGGAAAATCGCTTGTGGATGTGACTGGCTTCCATTCGACTTCCCTCCGCCGGACTGCATTCTGTCAGCTCCGACAGTTCAGCCAGGTTGTTTGCGTCAGACAAATTGTTTCCATCAGACATATGGTTTCCGTCTGACGTATTGCTTCCCGCCAACCGGCCTTTTAAACTAGGTGGATCATCATCCGCTATTGGCCGAGACCCTGCGGTAGGGTCTCGATCTAATGTCGAGTGAATCGGGTGACCTATATTGGGACCGGGATCCGGAAGGTCATTCTCTGCGTGTTCTGACTGCGGCGAAGCCGCTGCCAACCCGGCTTCTGAGGAGCCATTTCGGCCCGACTCAACGGGACCTTTCCGGTCTGAGTTTTCAGATACGGAAACTCCCTCGGTCGCTAGATCATCAGTGGTACTTAGCTCCTCAGATGTTGAATTATGAATTTCTTTTTTTGACCGCAGCTCGTGCTGGCCATGCGCATATGGGCAATAGTATCTGCCACAGCGACCACTGCGATTGAATTCCCGGCATAACACCGTCTTGTAAACATGAGGATGATAGAGAGCTTCAGTTTCAGTATGAGAATGAGGGCAATTTCTCAAGAAAGGACACTGTTCTTGCTGCTGGGAAGCTGCATATGTGCACAATGTCTCGCTGTAATTCACTTCCCATAAGGGCCTCCTGGGCCATGTCAGATCATGAGAATATTGGCATTTATCGCCAAAACTACATTTCGATCCTTTAATCCATCTCTGACAGGCCCTCGTCCTGAACTTTAGCAGATCACTGCTCTCCATTGTACGCGGTAATGCCATTTTTAGGTGATTGATACCGGTTGCGCACACGTTCGATTATTGATGCGCCGCGTTCTTTTTTCCAAGTACGTCCCTTGTTGACGTCCCAAACAGTTGCAGCTCTTTACACAGCTGCATGGGCTTACGATTTTATGTTAATCATCATTGATCTGTCAGTTTCTGGTAGTTACGCCAGTGTGTAGGGTCGTTACGTCATTTGGCGCCATGAGCAGGTGCATCCTAATTTGATTGCACCACAGTAGTTCTTCATCGCCAGTGTACATCAGTGCGTATGGATAACATTACTCCTACGAAGCCGAAGGTTTTAACAGTTTCTGCGAGTCAGTTATTGTTGAGGGACATTAAGGACTCTTATGATTGGTTGGCAAGCCGGAAGTCGGTGGATGTTCGATCACTGAAGGCATTTGAGAAGATGCTTGTCAACGGCATCGAATTAATTAAGTCGAGTCTTAACAACGTGAATGCAACGATTGAAACTAAAGCGAAAAAGAAAATCAAGGCCGAAGAAGAGCACCAAGAATTCATAAAGATATTAGAGCAATGCCAGCAAGACCAACAAACACAGTTAGTCCAATTAAACAAGCAACTGCAGATCGGGCTACAACATTCAGACCACTTGGCCACCAAATATCAAGACCGGTGGTCCGTTGGACCGATCATTGTTAATAAGCTACGGGAATGCGAACACCTAACAGCGCTTGCCTGCCAGGATTTTCTTGAAGGTCTTGAATAAATAAAGATCTTGCAAAACGTATCCTTTGCTACGTGCCCGTGTTCTTGCTACAGCCCTGGATGATTTTTGGGATGAGCTCCAGCATAGACCCTGAACGGGCGAGCCATTAAGACCCCCCTCCCAGGGTCGGCCCCGGTTAGAAAGTGAAGATTAGAAAGACGCCAGTTGTGGATAGCTGAGGTATTGGAACCTGCGAATTAATGTAGTGTATTGCTGGTCACTAATTTCACCTGCTTCTGCAGCCTTCTCCAGAGCCTTTCGAACATCTTCCAGCTTTAAGTTGATTTGCAGTTCGTTAACCTCATCTAGCTCATCAAATCGTCTCCGTGTTTGGGAGACGGTTTCAATTGGCGAAGAACAAGTCAGGACCGTTGTGCGGCACTTCCACTTGATACGGCACACTGCATGCGAGATGGTGGAAGGCTCTCCGTCCACCTGGTATGGCACTTTGTTCTTGATGCAGATCACGAAGCTTTTACCTTGCGCTATTTTCACACTGTCGGCCATGCCCACCTGTACTCTACCCAAATGGAGTAAAGACCGGAAACCTATCAACTCAATTCTACCATCCGCCATACGCTGCGGCCGAAACCTTGTATGCGGTGGCTCCGCAACCGAGCCGTTCCCAGTCGTCCAGTAGCGCCCCTCACTGATAGGCCGTAAGCCCGTCTCCTCCTGAAGCATGACAGTTCGGGGAGAACCCATTCGATTCAATCCAGGGGCACCGTCATTACCCGGTAAACCACCACCTGATTGACCACCCGATAGACCTCCTGATTGACCACCACTTGGAGGTATTAAAGGGAATCGGTTATGGAGGAGGGCCTCTTTAGGTGTCGTATCGCACTTGGGCGTAGAATCCAACAGGTGAACGCTTTCAGTCTCTTCCACGGAGGACTCCCAGCCACCTCCCGATGACTGGCCTCCTATCGACCCAGCTGAAGGCGGCATCATGGCGCTTGATGCTGCTCCGACAAGGTCACCGCTGGCCGCTCGGTTCATTCCAGCACCGGAGAAGCCACCTACACCAGATGGCCCGGCACTAGAGGGTCCAGTCCCACAATGTCCAGCCCCAGCCGCTCCAGGTCCAGTTGTTTTCCGAGCTTTCCGTTTCTTCGATGAGTGATGTGATCGGACGCCTTTCCAAGGCTCCACACCGCCTCCAAAGGATCCGATGTTGACGAAAGCGAGCCCTTCGAGTCCGCCCTGCACCAAGTGCCGTTCCAGGTCGACCAATTGTCCATCACAAAATATTTCGATCCCTTCCAAATTCACACTTTGGTCCACAAGGTAGTCCCGGACGCCAACTTCACCGTATAGAAATTTGTTACCCAGACGGGAGCGAAATAACTCTGGATGTGCCTCTCGTAAGGTGTGGAACTTAAGGGCAATTCGTGCTGCGATTCCGATGTCGATATAATTGGTAAAACTTCGCCGACTTATCAAGCTCGACTCCGTCATTGCGTCCTCCACAGCCTCCACGGACGATTTTACCGGCCCAGACGTTCCAACACCCGACATACGGCTTGATATACGGCTGGATAAACTACCCAGTTTCCAGTCCAGGGGTCCGCTAGGTACTTCGCTGGCCGAGGAACCTAGGCCTGAAGAGCCAATAGTCGAAGAGCCAACAGTCGAACTGAGGGTCAACCCAAGACCAGAGCCAACAGCAGATGACTGCCGCTCAGCGGCAGTCCCATCAGTCGGGACCGCCGTCTTGCGAACGGTTTTTTTTTGAGATTTGTAAACCTCGAGATCCCATATGTCCAATGTTGCCGGACGACCGAATATCAACTTTCGCATGAAGGACAAGTAGTCGTTGTGATTCGAAAAGGTGGCGCCCCAATTCAGCACCTTGCTTAGGTCATTCCCGGTCCCCAGAGGCAACACGGCCACTGGCACCTGTACGGCCTCCCACTTCGTCTCTTTCAACGCTTCCTTCAGTCTCCGCAATGGCGTCTCAGCCGGCGGCGCATCGGCAGCGGACTCTGTACCCGTCGGTGAATGCTCACCGTGGACTTGTCCGCTAATCATGGCAGTCGACGTATTCTGGACGGGTAGCAGTGAGTCTGGAACCGGCCTCTCTGCCTGTTCCCGGTCCGACATGTCTGGTCCGGGATGTCTGGTTTGATGAAGATGGGTATCCAGGCTCTTGACGATGTTCTGATTAGTACTGGTCTTATTTCGACTTTGCGTATCATTCCGATCTTGGCTGGCGTCCCCCGTTTTACCGCCTCCCGGTTGACCACACCCACCTTCAACGTTGACTTCTTCCAGGTAGTTTCGTGCGATCTGGTAGAGCTTGGCGAGCGTAGCGTAGGACGGAATGGAGGCGAAGCGGGTGTTAATGCTATCGATGACCCAGGAAACCGTGCCATCTCCACCGCAGGCGATCGCTCGCAGTCTGCCGGTGATGGCCAAGCCTTGGAAACGGTAGAGGCCCTCGACAGGGTTCTTTTCGATAGAAAGGTCAATGACCTGCCATGGGTTCAGGTAAGCGTACGACTCCTTGAGGATTAAGGAACCAAGTTGCCCACCGCTCTTCGGGTTCACAAACACGACGAAAGGAAAGACTCCCGTCCGCTCCAACAACAACGTCATATCCGTCACAGCTGAAAACAATTCACACACCACCTCCGCCCAACGCTGGGCAGCCACCTCCTCACTCACCTCCTTCTTCTTCACCAACGTGCGTAACAACTTCATCGTCGACGGCTTAGGCGAATTCAAGAACGTCCCTCGCTTCGCCACCTCCTTCGACGAGGGCACCGTCGCAATCGGACCAACCTCCCTCATACCCCCCTGGGTGCCAGAGTTCGCTCCCAGGGTGCCAGAGTTCGCTCCCAGGGTGCCAGAGTTCGCTCCCAGGGTGCCAGAGTTCGCTCCCAGGGTGCC